TCAGACACAGCTAAGTAACAATTGAGACGCTTATTTGCGTTCATCTCTACCTGTGAGCACATTTCGTGTGTCATTTGTGCGTATATATATATATATATATATATATATTTCTTGCATCGCCTCTAATGCCCGACTAGATTACGCACTCTTCACGATGGTGGGGGTTCGATATAAGGGACGCATATTCAAGCTTGGTGTGTATGGGAAGTGAAGGTGCTAACTTGACACATACACAAAGTTTGTGTATATTGCCGCGAAGCGTATTGCGGATAGTGTTGCGCGTGCCTGCGGTTTTGCGTCGATTACCGACGGTTGAATAGTGTAACCAAGAAGGACGTGTACCCTATACCAAGGATCGACGATACCCTAGATCGTCTTAGTGATGCAAGGTACTTCTCGTCCATTGATCTGAAGACAGGGTATTGGCAAATTCAGGTTGATGAAAGAGACCGAAAAAAGACCGCCTTAATCACGCCGGATGGATTGTATGAGTTCAAAGTGATGCCATTTGGACTTTGTTCCGCTCCAGCAACCTTCCAGCGTCTAATGGACGCAGTACTGGCAGGTCTCAAGTGGCAAATATGTTTCGTATACCTGGACGATGTGGTCGTCTTCGCTTCCAACTTTAGCGACCACCTGAAAAGGCTCCGGACGGTACTGGACGCAACTAAGTCATCAGGGCTGACACTGAAGCAAGAAAAATGCCATTTTGCCTATGAAGAACTACAGTTCCTTTGCCATATTATAAGCAAAGATGGCGTAAGACCAGATCCCGAAAAGACAGCCGCTATCGCACAGTTTCCTCAGCCGCAAGATAAAAGAGCAGTGCACCGATTCTTAGGACTGTGCGCCTATTACCGGTGGTTCGTCAAGAACTTTTCACACATTGCTGACCCTTTGACGCAGCTCACGAAGTCGGACGCCCCTTTCAAATGGAAAGCTGCGCAACGTGAGGCATTCAAAGAACTTCAACAACGTGTACAGTCACCACCGGTGCTGGGTCACTTTGATGAAAATGCCGAAACTGAGATATGCAGACGCCAGCAGCATCGGCTTAGGTGCAATTCTCGTTCAGAAGCACAAGGGCTGCGAGCGCGTCATCGCGTATGCAAGCCGCTCACCGTCGAAAGCGGATGTGAACTATTGGAAGTGAACTATGGAATTCCACGTCTGAGAAAAAGTGTCTTGCGATAGTATGGGTCACCTCGAAATTCCGCCCATACTTGTATGGCAGACCCTTCAAAGTCGTAACGGACCATCTTGCATTGTACTGGTTGGCCAGTTTAAAAGACCCTTCTGGCCGCCTCGCTCGATGGAGCCTACGGCTTCAGGAGTTTGACGTGAAAGTGGTCTACACGCCTGGTCGTAAGCACTCCGACGCAGACTGCCACTCAAGAGCCCCTGTCGGCGCACCACCAAGCCATGAAGACGACGATGCCTTTCTTGGGCCTATCAGCAGCAGCACCTTTGCATTACAGCAGGGCTCAGACCCGATCCTGCAACAGTTGATCAACTACATCGAAGGAAAGGCCTCCATACCACCTGCACTGTTCAAGCGTGGGATATCCTCCTTCTGTGTGCAAAACGGGGTGGTCGTTAAACAGAACTTCGCACCGAATAAGGCAGCTTACCTTCTTGTCGTCTCAAGCAGCCTCAGAGAAGAAATTTTACAAGCGTTACATGACGAACCCACTGCAGGCCACCTCGGTTTTACACGCACACTCCACAGAATTCAAGAGCGATACTACTGGCCCCGCCTCTCTTAAGATGTTGCGCGGTACGTCAAGAGTTGCCGTGAATGTCAGCGCCGGAAGAGACCTCCAACAAAACCAGCTGGATTTCTCAAGCCAATTGAACCCCCGTCGAGACCATTCCAACAGATTGGTAAGGACCTGCTTGGACCTTTCCCCACGTCAACATCCGGTAACAAGTGGATTATAGTGGCCGCTGATTACCTTACCCGATACGCTGAAGCTAAGGCCCTTCCGAACGGCACAGCCGTAGAAGTTGCCAAATTTTTTGTCGAATCAATTCTCCTCCGTCTTGGCACACCTGAGGTACTAATAACAGACAGGGTAACGATGTTTACGGCTGATCTTACTCAGGCAATCTTACATTATAGTCATGCAGATCATCGAAGAACAACTGCGTACCATCCGCAGGCAAACGGTCTCACGGAAGGCTTGAACAAGACCATTGCCGATATGCTATGTACGAGGACACAGAACACAAGACCTGGGACTTAATTCTGCCTTACGTGGTCTTCGCCTACAACACCGCGGTGCAGGAGACCACTAAAATGACACCATTTAATCTCGTCCACGGGAGGGATGCCGTTACTACCCTGGACGCCATGCTGCCTATTGTCACCGATGAAAACAACCTAGACGTGGCCGCCTACCTTCAGCGCGCAGAAGAAGCCCGGCAGCTTGCTCGTCTGCGCATAAAAGACCAACAGCGAAATGACGCAAGACGCTACAACCTGCGGAGACGCGATTTGCGGAGACGCTACAACCTGCAGAGACGGAATCGAGGAAGGGCAAGCATTTTGCATTCTGCGCGGTGTGTGGCTGCGACATCAGCGTTTCTCACGGAGGCAAACCCGACGTTGTCGCTCACGTTTCATCCAAGAAACACGTAAGTCACGTGCAATGCCAAGAAAAGCAGCAGCAGCTGGGTCAGTTTTTTTCAAAGCGGAACTCTGATAGTGACGTGATCCGAGTGGAATGTCTCTTCACTGGGTTTCTGCTGGAACATAACCTTCCATTGACGTCTCTGACCACGTGGGTCCCCTGCTACGAAAGATGTTCCCTACTTCGGATGTCGCAAAGCGGTACGGCTGTGCAAGAACCAAGACAAGTGCAATTGTTGGCGAGATGGCAAACCAAACTCAGGAGAGCATAGTGAGTTCTTTGAAGCAAAAAGTTTTCTCGGTTGCCATCGACGGCAGTAATGATGGCCACTCGCAGTTGTACCCGATCGTGGCGACATACGTGGGGGAGTCTGGCCTAGTTGAGAGTCGACTACTTTCTTTGTGTACGTTGACGGTACAAGCAAGTGGTCGCAACATAGGCAACCTAATTCTGGAGGCTCTCGCGTCGTTTCATATACCGGTCACGAACTGTGTAGCGTTTTGTTCCGACAACGCCAACGTGATGCTTGGTAAAAAAAATGGTGTGGCAGCGATGCTGACGGAAGTCCAAGAAAATTTGATTAAAATCGGGTGCGCATGCCACTTAATAAACTTGGCAGCTGAGAAGGGAGCAGAGTGCCTTCCAGCAAAAGTGGACGAAGTTCTTGCAGATATATTTTATTACCTGGAAAAGAGTGCTAAGAGGAAGGAGGCCTTGAGGCAGTTTCAGTAAATTCATGATGCAGACTTCAGAAAAATCTTGAAACATGTCCCAACTCGATGGCTATCTCTTGGGAAATGCTTGACCAGGCTCCTGGATCAGTGGAAGCCTCTGTTGAGCTTCTTCTTGCATGAAGTGAAGGACAAAAAGAGTCCCAGCTTTCTTGACTCATACCAGATCCCAAAGGCAGCAGCAAAGCAAGCAACAGCTCCAGCAGAAAAGCCTGATCAGTGCGAAACGAAAAGAAAGAACTGACACAGGCTCCTTCAGTGCCAGCAAAAAAAGCCAAGGTTTCCTGCACACAGAAGACTGACCAGCACTGCGCAACACGTGAAGAACGGTTTTTTGTTTTCCTCAGCCTGGAAACCAACCGAGCATACTGTCTCTTCTTACAGAATATTATTCCCATTTTCGAGAAAGTGAACCCCTCCTTGCAAGCACAAGCTCCCCATATCCACGTGCTACGGTCGCTTCTCTTGAAACTTCTTCAAGACATTTTCTCAAGATTTGTAAACCCCTCGTGGCTGAAACGAAGCCCAGAGCTGCTCAACTTGGACTACCATAGCATGGAGGCACAGAAAGGGGACGAGGACCTCATCATTGGACAGGAAACTAGGACTGTGGTAGACAAGCTAAAGCCCAGTGAGCAACAGGAGTTCTTCGAGGCAGTTCGGCACTACTTTGTGACAGTGCGCGACTACATGCGACACAAGTTTCCCCTGACAGACCCTGCTTTGCTTAATGCAGAGGTAGTTCAGCTGAAAACCCTGGACACCATGTCCTTCCGAAAGGTTCGCTTTTTTTGTGGACTCTTTTCCAGCGATGCTACCTCTCCAACCGGGAGAGTCGAAAATGGAAGCGGTCGACGCACTGGAGGTAGAGTTTTCCAAGTTGCAGGCTCAGGATCTTCCTCCCCATATTCTACAAGAAGAACGAGTGGATGCCCAGTGGAGAATGGTGTCACAGCTGAGAACTGCAGATGGAAGGTTGAGGTTCAGCCGAATTGCTGAGGTGATGCTTGGAATTTTGTCAATTCCACACAGCAATGCTGAGTGTGAGCGTCTCTTCAGCCTTGTGAGGAAAACAAGAACTGAATTTCGGTCGTCCATGTCCGACAAAACTCTCGGACATGTTCTCCTTGTGAAGTGTGACCAGGCTGGACATTGCTACAACCAGACCTACACGGAAGACTTCTTGAGGAGGGCCAAGTCGACGACCACCACCTTTGTTCAAAAATAAGACAAGCTAAAGCCCAAGGAACAACAGGAACTCTTCGAGGCAGTTCGGCACTACTTTGTGACAGTGTGCGACTACATGCGACACAAGTTTTCCCCGACAGACCCCCTGCTCTGCCTAATGCAGAGGTAGTTCAGTTGAAAAGCCTGGAGACCATGTCCTTTCGAAAGGTGCGCTTTTTTGTTAAAAAAAATTAAAAAAAATGCCCCCCCCTTCCCCCCGGGCAGGTTCTTCGTAATTCTGTGTCCCAGTATTTGGCAGGTCTGCAGAGAATTAACAAATTGTTTTTGTGTAGTAAAGTATAGCTCTAAAGCAATACAGTCCATCTCAAAAGGACTTTTCGGTGGGGCAGTTAGCACATCTTTTAATCGTCTCTTGACCACATTCTGAGCCCCATAGGAACAAAACCAATTCAATAGTTCAAATATGTTTATTGGGCAGAGGGTGGTGCATCTCCGCTCTCGGGTGAGGGTCCAACCGAATGCTGCAGGACTCTGCCATCCCAGGCCGCAGACAGAAGCGTGTGCTGGCCAGTCCAACACAGGCCTCGCACAAAGTCTGTGTGCTCCTCACTGTTGTAGCTGCAAAACATAACATGGGTTTCATATCACACAAAAAATGTGGCTTATTATATTATTGCTTATGATTTGCAATTTGTAGGATTTTGCCTTGATGGTTCTTTACAATGGTTGCTAAAATTCAAAATAAAACCTCATGATTTAAAACTTGGCTCACTTTGCACAAAAAGATATTGTTTTGAAATGCAAATCTCATTCCTTTTCAAAAATTGTTAATACAAATAAATACTTAATGATGTTGTGATCCTATAATTAAAAGGTCCCATTTAAGTGAAGCAAAGCATCAAGTGACCTTTGCAACCTTCACAAAAAGCCACAGAAGCTGTCTGGATTGATAAAAGGGTCTCTGCAAGTGAAATGTCTCAGGCCCGAACTTCACCATCACCGGCTCTGTCCGATTTTGTATGCTTTCTAAACTAAATAAATGACTTATTGCAATGTTCCAGTGCCTAAATATTGGACATGATCGAATCTGGCTACAACCCTCACCGAAAATGAATTTCCGCGCCGTATTGACCATGCCGATGGCATGCATTGTGAAAGCATCCAAATCCCTCGGGGATGAGGCAACCGTTGCACACATACGTGCTATGCACTGACGTGAAAGCAGCGAAGATGACGAAGTGGTTGAGCAACCTGACTTGTCATCGCAGGAGGCTCAACAGATGATGCAATCCCTCCGCAGCCTTGTTTTGGCAAAGGGCTTTCACCGTTTATCTGTGCGAAACAACTAGATGCTCTCAAAAGATGTGCGCCACCTTCAATTGAAGCAATTAGAGCTCAGACTATGAATCTTTTGTAAACAGACAGTACTTAGTTGCTCCAACTTAGTTGCATGCAAATAAAATGTTTTGATCTCTATTTTGTCTTTTCGTCAACCCGCTGACAACAATTATACGTTATAACGAAGGAATTTCTTTGAAACTTGGGTAGCGTCATAAGTGGACTGCAGTGTATAAAATGCTAAACTGTTCACTGTTCTGCACAGAACAGTGCATTTTAGCTAAAATGCTAAAATGCACTGTTCTGTGCGGTGCCAAATGAAGAGGGTCGAAGAAGCTAGCATCACTTCCGCAGCACTTCATTTTCTTTGCAAAACGGCAGCAACCCGCACGACAGTGTCTGGAGCGCCACGTCATTGGTAAGGCCAGGTAGCATGACGAAGCGGAGGCCGAAAACAGTTAGGCCTAAGCTCCCAGACCAATGACGACTGGGTTAAGGGCGACGGAACTGAGTGGCTCGTACAGTGGTTACTGATGGACGGCGACTGCAGCGACTAAGTGAAAGCATTAACGACAAACGTGATGCAAAACGGACGTAGAAGAGTCGGCTTAAACATCATGCGAAAAGTAAGAATGTTCCATTTACGAATTGCACATGAGAGGCCAATGTTGCCAAACTGTTTCAACAGCTGGGGACTGAGCATAGCCATTTCTATGTTGAGTAATTAAGAATATTTTAGATGGGCTCATGTATTTCATGTGAAGCTTGAGTTTATTCTTATCTTATTGTGTGGCAAAGTCAGTTGTGCCAACATGGTCTCTCATATCTCTCTCTCTCACACAATTCCATCTGGTTTGCAAGCACTCCCGAGATAAAAGCACAATGATGTGCAGAAATAAACGCGATGTGACCAAAATTTTCTGTGTCTTTAGTTTAGTGTTTTTTCTGTCCACAAGATTGGTAAGTCTAAATATTTATTGTTCCTTTTTCTATAAAATTTTCAGACACACGGAGAAGCGCAATGAACATGTACCAACTCATTCAATCCATGGAAGTACTCTGCGTGGAACAAACGAGGCTGAAGAAAGGAGACTTGTGAATTGCACTTGTCCGTGTGTCTCTTTTCTCAGTCGCCGTTTGTTCCGCACAAAGTACTTAAATTAATTCGTTCCAAACAGGCTGACCAGTAGTTTTCAACTCACTCAAAGTGCCATTTCATTGGGATCAAATTATTCTCCAACATTCATTAAATTGACGCAAGAGAGCCAGTGTAGCCAACAACGTAGCCTAATTTGGCATCAACTATTAAAGTGTCAAAAATGTGAAAAGAGGACTTGAAAACAAAATGAACTGAAAGAAAAGAAATTTATAATTAGGAAGCCAGAAGTTCGAAAGCAGTTTTGTCGCTTTAAACAAAATTTACACAAACAAAAATTTCCACATGAAAAGAAAAGACGTCGGAGCATATAATGAGCTCTTTCATGTATATTTTCATCACATGGGTCTCAATGCTTGCTTCAATGAATCTCCAAAAAAAGTAATTTTTTCTAAAACTTTAGGATATCAAATTTTACAACATTTTTAAAAATAAATATTTATTCACATTGGTTGAAAATGTTTTATAGGATAGTATGTTAAAGGGTAAAAAGCAAAATGATTTTTTTGGCTATAACGTAGTCACCTTATTTACAAAACATGTTTGAATCCACATTTATTCTTGCTGCTTTGCTAAGCCTATTTAAGCCAGAAAACTAACACATGGTTTTATCTGATGCATCACCAGAAAGAATAATCAGAATAGAATGCTTTAAAACCCAATGTGTCATTGTACGCAGTTTCAAGATTGAATACTGCTGCCCATTCATTGAGCCAGTGGCGATGACTAAGAAGCAGTGCGAGAACACTTGGCCAGGGTAAGGACAAAGAAGCCGTTGTTGTCATTCTCAAGTGCTAATAAAGTGTGATTGTTTTTTGTCCTCTGTTCAATCGTCCATCCCACATCCTCACGCTGGTGGAGGTGCCGGGTGAGCTTCACGCTTTTCACTTTTTCGTGAGCCGATGATCGAGCCTGGAATCGCCAACATGCGTAAAAGCATCTGTCCTCCCTTTCGGTCAACATCCACTAGGCTTGGCGCTCAAGCTCAATCTACCATTACCACTGCAACTCCATCACAACTCGACATCTGAATCACATCCGCCAGCCCAAGAGGAACAACCAAAAGTCAGGCAGCCCAATAGCTACAGGTCTTGCTCCAAGCTTGGACATGAGTCAGAGGCAATAACTCTGGATCGCCTTCACGACACCGAGTCTAGGCAAGATTCCAGGGAAGACATGGCGAGGCAAGTGGAACTTGCTGTCATAGCACCCAAGACTCCTGTCCAGCGTCAAAGTACCAGAATTTGACAACCAGTATCGTGCTACTCACCTTAAATAATTGTTTGCATCCATTATTAAATGGGGGAGGGATGTGATAAAATTAGTTTGCCGTTTCGGCACCCGGAGACGTCAATGTTCGCATGAAATAAATACGGTGCACATGACCAGCCAGTCAGTGTGCACGAGAGACTGAACGAGAGCATCACTATGTACCAAAGGCATGGCCCACCTTTTCTGTAGGGCAGACCCTGAGATGCCCGAAAAAAGCAAGTTACAGTATGTTATGTGAGGAGTGAAGGAGAAACTGTTTGCAGGCCCACCGAAAATAGACACTAAATTCGTACAGCAATCAAACGAGCTCTACAGCAGCAATACCACTGGCATCACCCCTACATGATTAACCCGGTAGCGAGCACCCTCGTCATGGCTTTGAAAAACATCAAGCCTCTACATGCAGACATTCGGAAAATTCTGCGAAAGGACTTCAGTTTAACTGCACCATCATGACCAAAGCCGGCACTGTCTTATGTTGCTGATGTTGTCTGGGAAAAGATCTGTCAAGCTCTTTATTCATTATACTAAGGCGATGTGTACAGCCAAACCTGCCGAGGATGACGGCGTAACTACGCCCTAAACGTACTATGGATTAAACACTAGCAACAAATTTGCATCTCCTGGCATGTGCCATCACCGTCAACAAAGGAAAAAACTCGGCGCCACTGAAATTATTGGCTGAAATGCCCACCGCAAAGCCATTTCTTTCCTTTAGCCAAAGTACTAAAAAGTTTCTGACTCTCGCACCATTGCCCGATAGCACGGGATGGCAACGCCGATGAGTATGTCGAAACTGCTGCGGGATCCGGGATACGCAGCGTTGTACAGCGACAGAATTGACAGAATCGGATGTTCGTTATACAGTGGTTCCGTGGCCTACTTCAAAGCACAAACTTATGCAGTTTTCTTTTTTAAAACGCGGTACAGTCGCAGAGAGCCAAACCTTTTATTGCGTGGCTAGTTCTGTGTGGCCCTTCGCTCACTCTGCGCATACCGTGACTGCCGATCCCCTTGCTATAGAATACACCCTTTCCATTTCAGGCCATGCACAGATTTGGCGAAAAGCCTGCTGGGTTAACGCGGCGATGAAGAGCTTTCCGCAAGCAATGTGCTCTCCGCGATGTTCTAGCAGTCCTGGCAGCGAACGGAAGCGCATTTGGGCTGTCACTAAATAAAAGCGTGCATCATTGTAGCAGCAGCGCTACGCTTGATGTACAGTGCGCGTGTTGGCATAATACAGCATGGTTTCTTGGTGCCCACGATCCGCAATACTAAACTCCACGACAGTGAGCCGCTTGTGTTTCCGTAAAGCAGTGCGCGCTTGAACACGGTCCCGCAAAACGAAGCAGCAGCAATCGGCAGCCTAGCGCGATCAGATAGTCGCATACTAAATGTCTGCAGTAGTTGTAAAGTGATAGTATGCTACACGCATGCCTGAGCAGATAACCGGGGATTTTTACTGCGATCAGGCTTTTCGCTAGTGATGAGTCATACCGGCGCGTTTGTCGGTGGTGGCCACCTCGCCTTCGTTTTTTTCTCGACGGTTACTCGTAATGTGAACGCCGCAATCGCCCGGAAGTTGATTCAACTCATCGGTTGATTTGCGCACTTATCAACATGACGCAAAATCATTCACGGCACATTGTGGCATCTGCAAAGTTCAGCGGAGCAGTAAAATGTATGCTTAAAGTATGCTTAAAGTATGCTTAAAGCAGTAAAAGTATGCTTAAAGCGGGCACGTTCTAACGAGGTTAGTGCGTACCCGCTTTATACTGGAGCTCAATACTGGAGATGACGCTCAATACTAGAGATTTCCCCCTTAGCCCGATTACGCTTTGTACGATAATTGGCATACATACAATGAGGCTCCTCTGAATCGTCCGTCAGTAACGCTTCGCGATAACATAGACAGTCCTCAAATTTCACCCATATTTGTCCGGCCACTCGTTCACTAGTATGAGTGATCCCCATTTGCCTCATTGGTTAATTATACTAATTTTATAGAACCATACGGTCATCTTGCATGCCAAAGTCTTTGTCTTCAAGAGTTCAATTTCACTGTTGCGTACAAATTACGAAGATGACACGGTGATGCCGACTGTCTTTCTTGGTCTCCTGTTGAAACAGCAGACCACGACGATGGCAACACGGCATTTTTGGGTGGCGTGGACACTGACGCTTTTTCATGGCAGCAGCAGGAAGACGCTGAATTGCTGCTGCTCATTGACTGCCTCAAAGGATGAACCAATAGCATGCCAAAATTATTTGCAAGAATGCTGGCATCGTACTACTTGCGAAATGGCATACTTAACAAAAATAACTTCTCACTTTGCAGCAGCAGCTACTTACTCGTCGTTCCCTCAGCCCTTCGACGTGAGGTACTCCACGCCTGCCACAACGAGCCAATTGCCAGTCGATTGGGATACATCCGAATATTGGCAAGGACTAGGCAGAACAACTAGTAGCTCGGTGACGAGTTGAAGGGGCACTTTTTTTTTTATCGAGGCGATTATATTCAGGCACAACACTCCTGCAATAAGTATCATCGACAGCGGTGATGTTTTCATGGCCAAGGTCAAGGACACCGTTTTCCGACAAGTGGCACCACTCAGAGGATGACATACCATCCCCAGACAAACGGGCTTACTGAACGTCTTAACAGGATCCTGGCTGACAAGGTCATCATGTACATAGAGCAAAAGAACTGGTACGACATCCTACCCTATGTCATATTCGCACACAACACAGCTCGTGAAGAGACCACTAGAAATACGCCCTCCAGTCTCGTATAAGGCTGTCAAGTTGCAAAAACGTTGGATGCAATGTTGATTAAAATGATGCCCGTGAGACAGATGCCGAAGAGTTAATGCAGCGGGCAAAAAAAGCTGAACAACTTGCCCGGTTGTGAATCACCAAACAACAGGACTATGATGCCAGACAATCAATCTCCAGCACAGACCCGTCATATACAACGTGGGCGACAAGGTGAGGGACGCCTATTCATCGTCATGGGCTCTCAGAAAAGGTGTAACGGAGATACTTTGAACTTTACAGGGTTCTCCGACCCATCAGTGACGCCAATTGCGAGGATGTTTCGGACAGCCCTCAGAGTTTGGAGCACTGAAGGCATTCGCCAGGAATCGTTCACGTGCTCCAGATGACGCCATGCCTTCCGTCAGTAATTACTGTTTTTTCTGCTTTCTTAATGTGCATTATAGAAATGATGTTTTTTTGAAAGATGTGGGGACCTCTGGCGTTCCCGCGACTATTTTGCGGGCTATTCGACCGTACGGCCGCTCCTCTCCCTTTCTCGTGCTCTGGTAAAGGCGCATGGCAATAGCTGGAGCCACGCGCGGGCGCGTCACGTGTTCTCGGGGGTTGTGAGAATCGGCGAGGCCAAGTCAAGTGCGCGCCAGAAAGGCTCTCTCCTCCGTTGGCCGGCGCCTGGTAAGCACGTGGTTTTCCTTCGTCTGCGTCCAATTTGGGAATTGCCGGATTGTAGCCTGCCTGTGTGCCTACGCATACCCAGCAGGCATGTTTATCCGAGTGTTAGCTTTGGTAGCGTACGCTAAGCCAAACAGCGGTGCCTATTGCTTGCCACACCAGCTGCACTTGCCGGAGGCTTACGCGTATGAGGTTTGCTCATGCGAACAGGCCCAGTGGCCAATCGTGAAAGTGCGCACTATAACCGCGAAGGACCCTTTTAGCTCGCCATGGCCAGCTGAAACGTGCTCACGGTCTCCCCGTCATTGTGAAGTCTGCGTGCGGGAGCCTCTGCTCCCCCGCATCTCGGGAGTGGATGTTGTACTGTCATTTGGGGTGCCGCCAAAGGCAATAAAGTGGTTGTGCGTTACTGTTAAGATCGAACACTGTCTGTTTTGTCGTGCCGCGCTGAACGTGTTGTTAGTTGAGCGTGCGCAGAGTGGTGGCTCTGTCGCTCGCTAAGCCTGAACCCGCGGTGATCTTTCGTTACGATGAGTAACGAGGTCATCACAAGGGAGATTAATGCGACGTGTATATGCCAGTGACAATGACCAAGAAACAGCGCGAGAACCCTTGGCCAGAGCAAGGATGGAAAAGACAATTCTCTACATTCTGCAGCAACTAATAAAGTGTGATAGTTTGTCGTTCTCCATTTTATCGTCAATCCAGCGTCAAAATGATACACATAATTTAATCCCACCTAACTCTTCTTTATCGCCAGAACATTTAAAGGGCATCACGTTACCACATAATTTTTTTAACGATAATTCTATTAAAATCAGTCACACAGTTACCTTCTAGCTTAAATTTTTCAGTAGAATCACTGGTGATTCAATTTCGGGCTGAGACATTTCACTCAGAATGACCCAGAATAAAGTGCACGCATGTAACATAGACTTCTACAGAAACAAAGCCATGACAACAGAATATGCAACAAAAGACTTTAAGATGTCGGGTGTATGAAAATCGGTGTTTGTTCAACTCACATGATGCTGTCCTCTGTCTTCAACACATCGACCACCCGCACAATCGAGTCATCAGCACACACCGCCAACAAACTTGGCCTGCATGAAAATGTGGTTGTAGACATATGAATTAAGCACTGTTGTCATCTTACATCAAGATTGAGGCTTTTCTGCATGCGAAATCAAAGCCAGATGCAACAAGTTACCTTCAACACACAGGCCACAGTGAATAACAGAAAGCTAATCTAGTTGATATGTATTAATTATAAAATATTAGCACGTGCTGACACAGATGCAAAAAGGAAGTTCGGCCCCAACAAATTGACTGGTTGCCGTACAAGTTTAGTTCAGAAGGTCTCTTTTAGCTACAGTCGCTACTACGTTGGGCAGATATAATGTCGGATTAACCAAAGATTATTGGAACACAGGAAATCGCCAACTTTCTAATCTTTCTTGACATTGTTGAGAATGTAAGCGGACGCCAATGTTCAATGAATGCGCAGTTTTGTACTGGCATAACAGTGAAGAAACACTTCTGATTAAGGCATAGCACATCGACAATAGTAATAGTGCTAGCGTAACTTGGCAGTAACTTGCATAAAGATGAAATCAAGAACCATAATAAATTATCTTTCACAAAGACCTCACGTGTACCAGATAGATAGATTCGCATAAGCATGGGCAAATCAGTTTTCATGTCTTCTTTCATTTCCACATTCACTTGAGGTGTAATAACTTCCTTCTTGTGACCATGTCTGCACGCCCTGTCTCTTTATGATGAACACAGGCAGAGCATGGAAAGCAACACCAACTGCTGTAGAGATGTCTTGAAGTACTTCGCTTTTTTCATTCTCCTGATTTCGCCGAGACATCGACGAACACAACCACTTGAGTTACTTTTTCCACGCCAGAGATGTCGGCGAAAAACGCAACTTTCATTTACGGAAGTTCATTTCACCGTGCCATTACAAGGGAACGCGCCCCAAATGCAAGCAGTGAGTGCCGGCGATGGGAAGTTTGTCTGCTGCTATGCCTAGCCACGGCAGTGGCAACACACCTGATTTGGATTGTTCGAGCTTCATTCCTAGTGTCGATGACTTCGTGAGTGCTTCAGAGTTAAAGATAAAGGCTGACAATAAAAGCAAGTGTCAGGACGAACACGAAAGCACATTCATTTGTAAGGCCGATGCGACGCAGAACCTCGTCAGCGGCGCAGTATGCCCTAACTGCGACTGGTGCGAGCTGTCCATTGGAGTATCAGCAAGTAGACGATAAGGACTGGCATCATTTTCGAAACTTTATTGCCGAAATGACGCATGTGCTGCAACTGTTGTTTCTTTACACGTACACGTCAAGTCACGTGTATCTGTCATGAAGTGGAGGCGAGGAGACGTCCGCCAGTGGCAGTGCAGGGGACAGCTTTGCCGTGAACGTGAAGTCGGTGGTCACACCGCGTGCGATAGGCGTCAGACACGGGCTTGTGCAATTTTGTGCAATATTTGGTGTTCGAAAACCAGTGCACCAGAATACTTTCACTGCCACTGGAAAAAAAGTGCATACCGCTGCCGAAAATCTCACACGAGCCCGGAAGCATTGACTCATCGCCGCAATATTGCAAAAAAAAAAAAAAAAAAAAAACGCTGAGACGAGGCAGCTTCCAGAGACTGTCAGGGTCCAACATATGGTGCTGGGTCATTCTGAAACTAACTTTTTCTAGATAGCCTTGCTGACATTCTCTGTGAATTTCATGCCAATTGATTGAAGGGTATAGTATCAAACATATTTTTGAACTTTCAAACCTGCTTTTCTCAATTCCTCCCTTTTTGGCATTTTTAAAGTTTGTGCATTAAAATTTGTATGCTTCATGTTGTTGGATCACAATGAAACTTGGCATGCTTAAAGATTAACATGTCCTGAATTCAAATAAACAACTTTCAGAGCTCTCCAAGGCATATGAAACTAGATAATTTCAAAAGCTTGTTCATTTGAGTATGGTAAAACTGAAATTCGGCATTAGAATATTTTTCTAGGCCAGTATACATATGTTACAGAATGTTTCTTTGCATTATTGAATTCCTCAATTCATTATGAGCAAAATTTACTATTATTACAGCTTTGTTTTGTTTATTATTGTTGGCTAAACTTGCAGAAAGCTGCATTGTTTTTCTAAATGCACGTTCTGCAAAACATTAACCAAATGAGCTATACAAAGATGAAAGCAGATTTGAAGAGAGGAGCTCAAACTCTATAACAGGAGCAAGTTTCATTGAGCTGTCACAGATATCTGAATAAAAAGTTTTAGGAGGAGCATCTCACCTTAATGGATGAAAAGAGGAAAATTGTGATGGCTAGTTTTTCTATTCATTATACAACACTATAACTATCAGACAAGAAAGCCAAAAAAAGTATAAGGGATGTTGTTTGTGGTAGCTATAGCTCAGTTGGTTTAGCCCAGTTGGTAGAGCATCGGACCTGTTATTCTAAGGTCGCAGGTCAAGTCCCTGCGAGTGGCAAGTTATTTTTTTGTACACTTTGCTTTCTTTTCGTTTACGTTTACACCACGACTGCTACAAGCATCTCTTTCTTTCGTGTTTCTTTTTTGTCTGTTAGTTCTAATTATTGTTCAATGTACCTTTCTGGTTAGATACAACATCACAAAGAAAACAAATAAGCCAAATGTGGTGTTAAAAACAGCAGCCTGAAGATAGCACGTATAAAGGTAAAAATGTTGCTTCTTTAAAGCACTGATGCAACAAAAGCATACCTGCCAAGTTCAAGGATTCTAGTATTGAATCCGGGAGATTTCTGCAACGAGGGTGTGCGGGGAGAGGGGGGTGTTGACGCGATGAATTATTTTACATTTTTACAATTTACTCCATGTTTGGACCAAAAGAAAAAAAAAAAGACATCACGCAAGAACAAAAGGGGGAAGGGGGGGGGGGCGTCCAATCTCAAGTGCTAACATCGGGGTTGCAGTTTTAATGGCTTGGAGCAGCCGAACACATGAAGTAGGTTTCCCACTAAGTTGAGAGCTTTAAAGGGGAGCGCAAATACTCTAGAAATTTCGCTTCATCAAAACAACTAGCAAAATTTATTTTCGTCAAAACAACTTGCGCGTGTCTTCGTGGGACACACGTGAATGAATGGGACTGCACAGCTGGCTGCCGTGGAAGCGCATGTCAAAGCTTTGGCTTTACTCGCTGCTAGGTTCTTTAGACAGGAACACCAGAAGGCTTCTAGCCTTTTTTTATGTCTTTACTGCCTTTAATTTACAAATACGTTAGCCACATGCCCTCGAAGCTCGTGACGTAGATTGCTATCGCCTCGGCACGACCGCGGTTTCGTGTGCGGTGATCGCGGCAAAGTGTAGTTCCGTTTTCAATCCGTGTGCGGTGGCTGCACACGAGCCTTCAAAACAAAGTTGTTTTATGCTATCTATGATAGCATCTGCTACGATCTTGTCCAGAGCGTTGCTTTAACTGGTCGAGCGTTAGATGGTGCACACTTATGGAGCACTGTCAGTAATGTCGTCGCCATATGTGATCGTGTCAAGAACGACCGTGATTTCGTCCACATCGGCTGCAGCAACAACCACATGCACTGTAGAAGACAATGCCTGCTCTAGTCGCACTCGTATTTCTGAAGCTTCGAGCACACTACTCTCGATTAGCCTTCGTTCGACGGTTGCGGTACTAAAGTTCATATCACACACCCCGATTTGAAAATGCTTTCAGAACATTCCAAGTGTTGCCCTATGGACACAGTGGAATTTGGCTGGGGAATTTCATGAATTCGTATCTGCCATGGTTTTGCATCACTGGGACTACTGTACGTTTTTTACTCAACGTTTATTAAGAAAGGACATGAAATAGCCTTTTAATGGCTTCTAAGTCATTGTGGAGTAATTGGCAATGAACGATCGAGTTGCCCGCTTTGCTCATACTGAAAGCAATCACATATCAATTCCACTTTCCACAACTAAAGCTGCACGGAAACTCCGCATGCTTGCTCGCAAGCGCACCAGATCACAATAGAACGAGTCACATTTCCCCCACACACGATTATGTACCTTAGACCCAACTCTCAGTCTTCGAATTCCTCCAGAACTTCGCCGACAAGACTCTAGTATGCTGTGCAGGTTATGGTTGGGTGTGGCATTTACCAATGCGTATGCGCTCCGCATAGCAATGGCCGACACTGCTGCATGTGACCATTGCAGTAGTGACAAAACAACTTGGCATATTCTGTATGAATGCCATCAGTACTGCTAGCAAAGACAGTCACTCTGCAATGCACTAGACAAACTGGACAACTAGACTCTTCCGGAAGAAAGAATCCTGTGCTTCTTGCATTCAACCGGCCTCTCCAAACGACTGTGATCGGAACGCCCTGCATGTGAGGACATGTGTATGTTTTTCCTCATTTATTTTATCGCTCTCTACCTCTTTCCGACCCTTATTTCCCCACCCATGTACAGGGTAGCAAACCAGTTCTTCTAGGTTAACATCCCTGTCTCTTCCTTTTATTTATTTTTCTCCTTCTAGATGAATGCCTCCTAAATTCATTTATATTAAAATGCGGTAGGTTCGAATAAAGCCTGAGGCGGACATACCTGCATTTTTGTGAATGCGGCCAGATCACGCACAAAAATTTCGATTTCCGGGAGATTTTCATGACAACCGTACAAACGGTAGAAACGGTCGAAATCCGGGAGTCTCCCGGAAAATCTGGGAGAATTGGCAGGTATGCAATAGAGTGCCAAACCGTCAGAAACAACCCAAAACCTGACATACAGACAGACGTGTACCACAGTACAAGAGCACTACAACTGTGGATGGGTGATTCCATGAAATCAACACGGCTCTAAAAAATGATATTTTAGATTTCATTGTTTATTTATATTTTGTGCAAATACCACTCAGTAACACAAAAGTGAACTTCATTTTTATTAGCTGCATAGTTGTACGGAGGGACCAATTTCCTTCCTTGTCATTTTCAAAAGTTGACAATATAAATACACAAACATTATTTGATGAAGATTATTTTTTTTTTCTAATAAATGTATGCATAATGAAGAGTGAAGCAGCATTGTTTGATGT